GGAAGCAATTAAGAGCTTTCCACGCATTCGCAGACAACTAACAACGATAACAACTACTCAAAATTCCACTCTCAGCAGCAAAACACATAAATCTCAGAGGAATAAGTGCAAAATTCCTACGAAAAAAAATCCATAATAACTTACTAAAGTTAGCAATCGATCCGTATGTATGATGTCATGTAGGGTGACAACGTTTGCATGTCGAAGATTCCGTAATAAAGAAACTTCTCGAATCGCTGTGCATGGCGCTCCCTCTTCCTGTTCGAGTCGAATCTCCTAGAATGGAGAGGAAAAATTAATCGAGCAGCTGCTTTTCAGCCCTCTACCCTTTGTGGTTATTCTTGGAATTCCAACGCTAAGGAAGTCAACAGTATTAGATCAGAGCATGTTTTCGCAAGGATTATATAGCATGCGGCAGTAGATTCGCATAGTTTGATGCGGGAGAAGATGAAAGAAATCAAATTCCTCTTTTTATAAAGAAAAATAACTTCGAAAAAATTTCTGGTCTTTATGGATGTCTCATCACAAAGCTTATATTATGATGCGGAGAACAATTCCAGGAATTTAAGATATGGCTCATGAGTGGAACCGTTTATTAAAGAATCTACAATTTTTAATGAAACACAAGTATGCAACAAAAGCAACCAGTCTAGAACTTTTTTTCAAAGCAATCCTTCAAAAAAGGGAAAACAACGAAACGCTACAAGTTAGAAGAGATAGATAGAGGTCTTGAAACGTAAGTTTTTTCTTAATAATTTGAAAAAAAAATTATATTTCCGCTCCTATATAAAATTTTCAAATTTCAATTCATCGTGAGAGGAATAAATTCGATGTCAAAGTGGTAGAATACCTCAAACTCTTTATCTCTAATGTTATCATCTCTTTCTCTTGACTTTCCAAATAATTGCATTTGTGGGTCAATGGTTTCGAGCTCTTGTAGATTCTTTTATTGCACGTTTCCTACAGTACTAGTCTCTTCATAAAAGGAGGAAAGCAAATAGAAATCGACTGGGTCATGCCAGGACCCATTG